GAGAGCTGGGAATCAGAAAACCACTGTGTGTCGGGGAATGGGGGCAACCAGACTCTCACTGCTCTCTCTGGAAACAGACTTCCCTCCGGGACTTGGCTCCAATATTGCAGACATCCGGCTTCTCACCCTGGAGGGAACAGCCAGGAGTGGGCGTCCTGGAAGGAGACCCACTCCCCAACCCTCACCCCTTTCTGCCCTCACCCAGTTTACCTGGTATAACTTGCAAACAAGGCTCAGAAGGTTGTCATGCTCACCCATGGGTACCTGCACAAAGCAAGACAAGTCAGGGGTGGGAGCCCAGTCTCACCTGCCTCAACCCATGCAGACTGGTCCTGGCTCCCAAGGTCCCCATCCTGGCTTCGGGCTTCCAGCCCAAGGGACATCTCCATCACTACAGTCCCCACCTGGGCACCATGCTGAGGGCAATGGGAGTCTTACCCCATTGACGACGACCCAGGGCACATATTTATGGGGAGGCTTCAGCGCATCAGTCAGCTGGGCGTTGGTGTGCATGAGCTGTGTCCCCCGGTCCCCCTTTGCACACTCCACGATCATGTCTGAGGACATATCCGGGGCATAGATCTGCAGGCACTATGGGTGCAGAGAACGGGCAAGTGGTGCGTTGCTTCAGCTTCCTCCCTGTTATCTCCCCAACGGTCCTCCACTGGCCCCCTAGCCATGTAACACTGCCCCCAAACAGTGGGGGCTTTATGCGCGCCCAAGTCGGGGGGTGGGGGGGCCTTCAAGGCCCAGGCTGCTCCTGCTTCCACACTCTGTCCTTAGAGCAGCTCAGCCGATCCTGACTTTCCTCAGAGTTGCCGTACATGCTGTTCCCTCCACCAGAAACACCCTTCCTCTTCCTTCTACAGTGTCTCAAGAGAGCTCCCCTCCTCTGTACACCCAGCTCCCTTCTCAACCCACAAGGTTGGGAGTGTCTCAGGGTGAGGCCACTTGGCCAACCCAGCTGGCTTTTCTTTTATGATGGTGGATGCACACACAGAACAAAACAGCTTATGCATCTGAGGAATGCATAAATGATGGGGAGATGCATCTCTCCTTTGGGAGCTATCGTTTATCATCCCCTGGGGAAGTTCTAGGGGGGCATTTTATCATCTTCCCATGCCACGGGAGGTCCCTCATCTGTGTCTCTGCCATCTTTTATTCATCCTTCTAAGCCCAGCTTAGCTGGACGTCCTCCAAGAAGCTCTCCCTAACACAGCCCTGCTCCCAGGGGACCCTCATCCTCCGATCATTCCTGTTGAGAGATGGAGGCTGTGAGGGGGGAGGCCATGTTGCTGGGGTTACACAGTAGGTGGTGTTCGGAGCCAGGATTTGAACCCACGGTCCACTGTAGCTCCGACAGAGGGACACACTCACCGGCTTCAGGTTGTCTTCCATGTCATCCATTTCCTCTAAGCAGACGATAGTGAGAAGAGCGGTGATCTTGTCCAGTTTGTCCAGTAGGCAGGCCTTGGGGGTGAGGGTGAGTAAGGGCGTGAGGGGCGCCTGCCTGAAGCAACCCGGGGCCCGCTGGGCACCATCATTCTGACTTGAAGAATGGTGGTGGGGTGGAATGGAGGCCCCTGGACAGAGGACGAAGCTGATTCCAAAGCCCGCCTCCCTGACCACTCACCTCCACCTTGTTGAAGAAACACTCACGCTCCCCATGCTGGCACTTGAACTCCCACTTGCCGCTGACATTTGTTTCCTGCAAAGCAGTGGGGTGAGCGATGGCTGGCCAGTGTGTATGCCCTCTGTCCCCCTGCCCCACCCCCACCCCGACAACTCAGTTTCCCGGCCCCCACACACCTGGGCGTTCCCATAAGGCACCAGCGTGACGTCCATGATCTCCAGGACCATCAACCACGTGGAGAAGAGCTCTCGGATCAGGAATGCCCGGCAGCCACCGCACAGGGACTCGTAGTAGAGGGTGACATTAATCGGTGGCGGGGCCCAGTTATTGACGGGCACCTTTGGACACAGGATGCCGGTCTACAAGGAGCAGGGGGTGTGAGGCTGTGTGGCTCTGAGCCTGTTTGGCTCCCACAGGAGAGGGAGCTGCAAACAGTCACTCTTCCATCTTGCAAGCCTTTCAGACACAGCCCAGGGAACCTTCTCTCTCCAACCAACGAATACAATAAATCAATAAAGAAATCCAAACCCCAGGGCAGACATGCCAATTCCAACTCATGGTGACCCCATGTGGCTATGGAGAGGAACTGCTCTGGGTGTTGGGTTTTTTTGTTTTTTGTTTTGGATAGCCAGCTCTTTCTTTCGGACACTGGTTGAGTACGTTCAAAATGCCAACCATGAGGCTCACACTGCCTGTGTCAGCGAGGGACCTGCTGTGTCCCCAAAGGCCCTAAACCACCTGTTCGCTCTTCTGTAACACAAGTGGGAGGCTGACTGCAAACAGTATGCACTTCATGTATTCGTAGCCCTTGTCTTTCCACTGCTAGAGGAGAGAGGAGACGCCCCCCCGCCCCCCACCCCCCGGCTCTGAGGGGCTGCAGGCAGTCATGTCCACACACGTTTCTGCCCCCTCCCACCGCCCGCCTATTCCGGTGCATACCACAAGAGCCTAATGTATGCATATCTCTCGCCACTTCCCCCCCTGAACCTGGGTGAGCTCTTTGTTTGCTCTGCACCCAAGGGCCTCGGGGAACCCTCCCAAGGCCAGCTGCACAGAGGCGGCGCCTAAGAGGTCCTGGCTTCTATTGGGG